GTTTTACAATGGAAGAAATTAAGGTTCTGGAAAATTGTAACTTGCCTACAGTCATACAGCCTAGAAATTGTGGAGAAGGAATCCGACCCTAAATCTGGGTACACTACCTTGCCTCTTATTAATAAAGGATCACTCTAGGTGTACTTCTTCCAACAAAGGTTTATTTGTTCTTCTGGAAGTCCATGGTACTTTTAATATTCTCCTCCAACACCGTAACTCAAATGCATCTATTCTTCTACAGTTTTCCTTATTCACTGTCTAACTTTCACGTGCATATGGCTTGGGTCAGGCGCACTTTTAGGCCTCAAACTGACATCTTTCTTCTTGAACACTTTAAAGAACTCTTGTGCAACAGATAACGTCAGGCTAATCATTTTGTCTTAACATTGCATGGACTCTAAAATGGAGTTCAGGTGTGGCACTGTCGGATCTGCATTGGACTGTTAACCACAAGATCAGCAGTTCAGAACCACTAGCTTCTCCTCAGAAACCCTATACAGGGTTGATATAAGTTGGGACTGACTCAATGGCACTAAACAACAACAGGCTCTTAAAAAAAAAAAAAAAGTCCATTGCTATCAAATCTATTCCGATTCGAAACACCATATGTAGGTTTCTGAAGTGGTTCATCTTTACAGAAGTAGAACGTTTCCACTTTGTCCGGAGTGCCAGCTAGTGGATTTAAACTGCTGACTTTGTGGTTAGTAACCCAACTGGGTTCCATTCCCAGCTTTACCGTTATTAGGTATGTGTCATTGCTGATCAGCTGATATCTAAGAATTTCGTTTCTAGTGCCAAGCCCAGTGAATTGTACAAAGCTGGTCATTCAGTATACTACAGATAGCTATTTCTTCTATTAAATGTTGTAAAACCAGTTTGGTTTAGATAGTATCAGTAGTCCTGAATCAGGAGAAAATAGTTTTTGATGTTGTTCAAGGTAATAGAATAAGCATTTAGAAGCTATAGATAGTATCATAGTATCAATGAAGAACCATTGAATTGATTAGCTAGTGTTGAGTTTTTTGGAGTACTTGGCTGCTCACAGAAAAGGTAGCTGTTCGATTATACCCACAGGCACTTCAGAAGACAGTTTGATGATCTACTTCCAAAATAAAAGCCATTACAAACCCAGTGGAGCTCCGTTCTCTGACACATGTGCTTGCCATGATCTGGATTGACCTGACAGCATAATGTAGTATAAGCAATTGTCTAAATTCATGAAAAGTAAGATTCTAATGAGGCCGAGGTCAGAACTTGGAGTTCAGATATTTATATATCTCCACCTTCCCAGTTCTCCATTGTTTCTGACACCAGCCGCTCCCCCTACTGCACTTTCAGGGGTTGATAATCACAGACTACATTCATAGTTGTGTGGTTTATCAGGGAAGTAAAGGAACAACTCAGAAATCATCATTAGTAAGCACACAGGCAAGGTCTGGAAGGATTCCCAAATTGGAGACCATATCCCTCCCTTCTTCAGTACAGGACCGCTCTCAGAGTAAAAAGGTTCATGGAGCAGATAAGCTCTCTTCTGGAACAACTCAAGATTGTTCCTTGCCAGTGCCACTGTCTTCCTCCAGTGGTCAGTAGACATGGCTTCTCTGTGTAGCAGGTACCCCAACTCAACTTCTCTGCTGGTGTCTGCCTTTTCTGCCATGCATGCCTCTCCACTGTGGGGCTCCCTGCCATCAGCCTATCTGCTGCTAACTGGCCCAGCTCATAGCCAGTCTAACATGAAACTCGTACTTGGAATAATGATAGAATTCTTAGAGCTACTAATTGATGCCTCCTTGGTGCTGGTATTGTATTCTGCTTCAAGTACATCTATTAGATCCAAATCAAATCCTCTGCCTTGTAGTTGATCCCGAGTCATAGCGACTCTGTATAGTGTTTCCGAGGCTGTATGTAACTCTTCGTGGAAGCAGAAAGTAGCATCTTTCTCCCATGGTGCTAGCAGCTGGTGGATTTAAAGTTGAGGTTAGCAGTCCAGTGCTTATCTACAGCGCCACCAGGGCTCCTATCTATTAGGTGGTGGTGGTGGTAGTTGTGTGCCATCAAGTCTGTTCCGATACACAATCCTGTATGGGGTTTCTGAGTCTGTAAACCATTATGAGAGCAAGAAGTCTCATGTTTCTCCCTTGGAGTGACTGATAGAGTATTACTACTGACCTTGTGATTAGCAGCCGAGCTCATACATAATCCAATGCACTGCCAGGGTACCTTATCTATTAGATGTTAAGTAAGTGCTGTTGAGTCACTTCTGACTCATAGCGACCCTGTATAGGGTTTCCAAGGAGCAGCTGGTGAGTCTGAACCACCAACCTTGTAGATTAAACCGACCTTGAGGTCAAGTGCTTATCCTACAGCACCACACCAGGACTCTATTAGATTGTTGTTAAGTGTCGTCAAGTCAGTTCCGACCCATAGCGACCCTGTGTAGGGTTTCTGAGGAGCATCTGGTGAGCTTGAACCAATGTCCTTGCAGCTCCAAGTGACTTTGCAGTCCAGCGCATTAACCCACAGTGCCAAGACTCCATCTATGAGAGTTTTAGATGGTATAGCATAATTTTAATAATACAGATTTTTATAAATATATCATCCTCAAATATTCAAGATTGACATAAAAGTACCATCCTCATTTTACAACTATAAAGTACCATGGACTAACAAAAGAACAAACCAATCTGTGTTGGAAGAAGTACAGCCAGAATGCTCCCTGGAAGCCAGGATGGCCAGACTTTGTCTCTCATACTTTGAACGTATTGTTGGGAGGGACCAGTCCCTGGAGAAGGAGATCATGTTTGGTAAAATGGAGGGTTGAAGAAAAAGAGGAAGACCCTCCAATGAGATGGACTGGCACAGTGGCAGCAGTGATGGGCTTAAATATAGCAACGATTGTGAGGATGATGCAGAACAGAGCAATGTTTCATTCCGTTGTGCATAGAGTCGCTATGAGTCTGTACTGACTTGATGACACCTAACAACAACAGCAACATTTTACATCTAAGGAAAACAAGACTCAGACAAATAAAGTAACTTGCTCAAGGTTGTACAAAGTAAGTAGGGAGACTGAGTATCAAACCCAGGGCTGACTCCTAAACCTAGCTAGGCTCTCTTCCCCATTCCACAATACTGAAATTGGTACCAGATAGATAACTTTGGAGATTGGTTTAACAAAAGTAAACTTAACCCAAAAATGACATGACTTGCTAACTTCATGTGTGCAGCATGAGGTAATATGTGGTGCTCAAAAGATAGGTGGGTTCTTCCACTGATTTACAAAGCCTGCAAAAGCAATTCAGGTACAGAATTTATCTTAATTGTTAAAATTCTTTCAGTTTTACCTTAACAATAAATGAAACTAGAACTGAGGTCCAATAGTGTATTTTCTTCTAAGTTTATATTAGATTACAACTATTTCTTTGTATACTACCTAAATTCTACTAAGTCCTTCTGCTAGAAAGGAATGCATACCTTTGTATTTCATTTTGTTAGTAAGTATATGCACATTTTGCTAGTAAGTGTATGCTAGTTCCTTCTTTGTTAGGTGCCTGTCAAGTTGTACACATTGGCTCAGACAGTAAGTTGTGAGGGGGTTCCATCCAACACACATTAGTTTATTGTAAAGACTGCATTGCATGTCTCTTACCCCCCCGCAAAAAAACCTCTTGAAGACACTGTTCTTAAACCTGTAATCTTATTAAGCAGTTAATATTTTCCACTAATGAACTATTTATGTCCATCCTGTCTTAAGCTCACATACATGCAGTATTAACTGTTTTCTGTGTTTTAAACCTACTATTATGATTAATTGGAGTCCTGGTGTGGCGCTTTGGGTTAATGCGTCAGACTGCAAAGCCATTTGAACTGCAAGGTTGGCAGTTCAAGCTCACCAGCTGCTCTTCAGAAACCCTATACAGGGTTGCTATGGGTCGGAATCAACTCGGTGGCACATCACAACAACAAATTTTGATTAATGCTTCTACCATTTACTGAGAATCTTGTAAGATTAGCTAAAAGGCACTGTGCTAGGAATAACTATTTTGTAGAATTATTGTGATGGGCTTAAAGATAATTTATAGCTGTTACCTGTTTTTGTGTTGAGAAAATTGCATTATAGTAACTTGTGCAGACCCACTCACCTAAAGGGTTTTGGCCAGGTATGACTGATTTTAATAGCTTTTCCAGTACCTCACACTGCTGCTCTTGCTTACATGCTTTCAGTTAAAGTCAGCCAAGTTAGAAAAAGTCCTTTCATATAAACATCTTTATAGATATATACTTCACTTTGTCAGGGCCTTGTGGCACTATTTACCTTGTGAAGCTAGTTGTAATATTTTTACTGATAAAACTGGTGATTTACTATAGGTTTTTAGCAGATAAGGTGCTCACATAAATAACACTTTGTTGTTGTTGTTGTTAAAGTGCCATTGAATTGGTTCTGACTCATATTGACCCTGTGCTGGGTTTACATTTTCAAGGGAGCAGAGAGCCTCTTTTTCTTCTACAGAGCAGCTGGCAGGCTGAAACCATGAACCTTGTGGCTCACAGTCCAATGCTTATTGTATATGCATATAAAGTGCATAGTGTGCTTAGGAGGTTTTGCACAGTTTGCAAAAACCATGTAATGTGGGTGTTATTTATGTTGATGTAGCAGAAGTATGATCCTAGAGTACTTGCTTACTCATTCTGACCTGTCAGTGTTTTTATTATGTCACTGTTCTTTTACATTTTTCCCTACAAAATATGATCTCTGAATTTGGAAAAAGAAGCATTTTTACCTACAAGGCTTCCTTCTTGGTATCACTTTTAAAATAAGGGACATTTCTCTTTAGATAGCAAAGGGCTCCTCTCATTTTTTCCCTTTCAATTTAAAAGTTTTTACTGGAAGGTTTATAATAAACCTTACTATATATTGCTTTTTTCTTAACCCTTTCTTTTTCCACTATAGGAAAACTGACTGTGTTTTTGGTAATTCTCTCTGTTGTTGAATTCTCTAGGAAGAGGAACTGTACGCATGTCAGAGAGGTTGCAGGCTGTTTTCAATTTGTCAGTTTGTGGATGATGGGATTGATCTAAATCGGACCAAATTGGAATGTGAATCTGGTAAGATGCTGTGCTAATGACATTATCAATGCATAATGTTTTGAGTTATTTTAATTCTTATGTAATTTCCTCAGAAAATGAAAAACATGAACTATTTAACCTAGTCCAGCATACTGTAATTATTACTAGCGTTTTAGTACCTTCTGGTAGATATTTCATGGGTGTTAAAGTTCATTTTTTTGTTGTTGTTAAGACAGTGCTTATTTTGTACTACAGATAGGACACCTGTGTTTAACCAAGCATTTAGTTTAGACAAATGCAGTAGTAATTATCCCACTTATAATTCATCATTACCTTTTCATACATAGTATAACTTTCCTAAGCATAGGTTAGTTGACTTACCTTCAAGTTCTTTACTGAATCAAGCCTTTGATTTAGTATTTTATAATGTTTTCTTTGTGGGTCATGCCATTAAAAAGAATAACTAGAGTCTGTCATCTGTTAGACCATTATTCTTACATTTTGCTGACAGAGATGTATCTAATAAAAGACAAAATTGGGGTTAAACTTTTTAAACAACTGTACTGGAATTTTCTCCATTTATTATACTGTTTATTCAATGTAGCAGGAGGTACCTCTTTTTCTATTACTATGCCATGACTCATCGTCTTTTGCGATATCATAATCTTGTTCTTAATAACTCAGTCTCCTAACTGCCCATCTTTATCTGCATGTAATGATGTTTAGTTAATTACCCAGCACCTTTGAGTAATGTGTTACAAATATTTGTATGACTAGGTTAGAAACAAATACAATTTTTTTTTACCTTTTTATTGTAAATTGAGTGATGGTTCACTGACAAGATTATCAGCTTTACACTCAATAAATTATACACTTTGGTTTCATCTCAACAATTATAATCCCCATCCTGCAACAACAGTTAGCTCGCTTCCTCCCTATAGGTCCCTATATACATCTTATATTTCACAAATGAAAAAAGCAAAATTACTTTATGTACACATAAAAAACAAAAAGTATATATTCATTTAAATGTCCAAAGGGCACATTCCTTAAGCCAGCCTCCTGCCCTCAGGCACACAGCCACCTCCCCTCAAGCACACAGCCACCATCTCTGCTGTTGCCACTTTTCTAGGTAGGGATCTCACACTCCACTCATGCTCTTCCTTCCTGATGGGATCATCTCTTCCTGAAACGAAAGATTAACTACTCCCCTCTTTTAGTTGCATGTCTTGTGTAATTACAGTTGTGACAATAACAGTTAATCCTGCTAACAGTTACTCACAATTGAATCATAAAATCCTATCACCATCACCCACCATCCTGTTTCACAAGGTCTATCTGGAAAAGAAGGAAATTAGTCAGTAGAGATTCTGCCTTACCCTCCTCATTCTGAAAGTAAGTACACTCATGAAAGCTTGTAAGCCAGCCACTTCATGCCTTTATAGCCCTGCTTTTTGATAGCCAGTGTCTAAATTTCCCATCCCTGTTCACCCAGTACACTGAGGAAACACGCTTGTTCTTCCATTCTGGTTAGAATGTTGAGCAATTGCATCCATAAGCAAAAGTTTAGTTCATAAAATTTTAGCAATTTTCACTTGCTCACAGCTCCTTGGAGGCTAGGATGGCTAAGCTTCGTCTCTCCTACTTTGGAAATATTGTCCGGAGGAAACAATCGTTGGAGAAGGATGTCATGCTGGGTAGGGTGGAGGGTCAGAGAAAAAGAGGAAGACCCCCAACGAGATGGATCAGCCAGGTGGCATCATTGATGGACTTAAGTGTGGCAGCGGTAGTGAGGTTGGCCCAGGATCGGACATTGTTTCGTTCTGCTGTGCATGGGGTCGCTATGAGTTGGTTCCGACTCGATGGCACCTGACAACAACACAGCATGAAACATCTTTATCTTCATCTGGTCAAGCTCTGGTCAGCTAGGCATCCTCCACGCTAGGTAAAATGGGTACTAGCTATAAGTTTGGGAGTTTGTGCATACCTCCCTGCACTTCAGACCTGCTAATACTTCACTTTCAGCTCTAACCCACAAGGGCTAAGTCAGTGCCCATGGTGGGCTCAGGAATTCACACATCTTCCAAAATTTCAGACCAGCCAGCCTTCCTCTTATCTCAAGGTTAATGGGTACCAATGGAACATGGCCAAACTCAGGCCAGGTCTTCATTACTGCATTTCCTCCACACCCACTCACAGGTAGAACCAGATGGTCACTAGTAAGCATACTAGACTGTTCTCTTAAAATTTGGCCCTAGAAGGGATTTCCCCTGATGGGCTGACTTTTCTTACCTTTTTGCCTCCAAAGCAAACAGCTTGCTGATATTTAAATAGCTGAACTGTCTACTTTTTGTCTACAGGTCTTTCAATAAGAACCTTCTGTTCTCCCAGCAGTTCTGGGTTGGTCTGCATGTATTTTCAAGTGGGAATGTCCCAACTCAAAAGGTTCTGGTTGGGGCTCAGGGTTCCATCTAAGCCTCCATATTCTACAAAGGCTTAACAAAAAAACTAATTTCCCTGGGCAAATGATAATTCCCCTTTTAGCATATCTAGTCAGTTGTAGGCTGAAGGCGGGCTTACAAACTTTCTGTAATCATAATTCCCAATATTCATTTCTGTCACACATAAATGTCTATTTTACAATAGTAGGCAAGGGAAACCAGTATCCACAAGACAGTCAAGCACATAAACATTCTTCTCGCTCCTTTACCCATTCAGCCTATGACACACACCATATATCTACTCACAGAACACTGTTGTTCCAAGGTTGTGTATAAATCACTATTTTTCTCTATTCCATTTAGCCCATGCATAACTCCCTAACTCTTCCACTAGTTTCATTGTTTTTCTGCCACCCTCCCTCTTCTTGTATGCTGCTCTCCCCCATGCCTTGTATATTGCCCTCCCTGTCATCTAAGATAACATGTGTCTACCTTCTAGCCAGTGAATTGCTCTGTCCTCTCCTACCCCTGGTAACTGTCAGAGAGTGTTTCTGTTAGCAATATTTTTGTTAAGTGCTGTCAAGTTGATACCTACTCATAGCAATGCTGTATAGAGTTTCCAAGAAGCATCTGGTGAACTTGAACCACCAACCATTCAGTTCAGACTGACCTTACAGTCCAGTGCATTAACCCGTAGTGCCACACCAGGTCTCATAAAATATTTGTGCTTTTGTGATTGACTTATTTCACTCAGCATAATGTGTCCTCCAGGTTCATCCATGTTCTGAGCTGTTTTGCAGATTTATTGGTATTCTTCAAGGTTGCATAATATTCCATTGTGTGTATGTACCAAAGTCTGTCTCCATTTTTTTGCTATTCTGAATGGTGCTGTGATGAACATTGGTTGCATATATCTACTCATGTCCTGGCTCCCATTTCTTATCAGTATATACCAAGTAGAGAGATTGCTGAATCATAAGGTATTTCTATTTCCAACTTTCTGAAGAAGTGCAGTAACATTTTCCAGAGTGGTTAAACCATTTTACAATCCCACCAGCAATGTTAAAAAGTCCCAGTCTCTAAGGCTTATCAGGAATTCTGGAGTGGTGCTATGGGTTAATGCACTGGATTGCAAGGTCCTTTGAACTGCAAGGTAGGTGGTTCAGGCTCACCAGCCACTCCTCAGAAACACTATACAAGGTCACTATGAGTCAGAACTGACTCTATGGCACTTAACAACAACAACAACAACAATGCCTAATCAAAAAGAACATAACAAGATCTATCTTGAAGTACAATACTGTTGTGATAAGATAATATGCATATGCCTACAAGGAAGACCAGCTAAATACCACTA